AAACCCATTTACACGGAAGTGGTTTTCTGTTGGATGGTAAATCACACAATGTCCATACATCATTCTCTTTAACGGACTGAAGTTCGCTTGCCATAGCCTTCTTCCATTCAGCACTATCCTCTCTCTCAACAGCTTCTTTAAGTGTACCAGGAAAACTCTCTGTACCTATATGGCACACATAGTCTTGATACCTTTTGGGATGAGGTATGGTCGCTCTCTCTCTTAGATTGTACCTAGGCTCCATGTCACTTAATGGTTCGACTACTTGTAGTGGTTCATCAACATCATCCATACAGTTGTCATCATTATCCTCATTATTAGGGATAATAGGATCGCTGTTCTCATGGATTACGGATTCTTGAACATGGTCATCCATCACCACTGTTCTCCCTCTAGAACATGTTCAAAATTGTCATTCTCATTTCTAGGCTCTTGCTCGATAAAGTGACTCCTATCTCATAGTACTCCCTCTGAAGAATTAGGCATGCAGGTGGAAATCCTGAATTCAACATCGCTCTCAAAAGTAATGTCTCTTAACCTTATTATCTTCTTTCCATCATAGACACGATATCCGTCATCATTTTCGTAGCCTATAAGAATGCCATTAATAGTTTTCTTATTTTTCGTGCGATTTTGTTTTGGAATTTGCGCATAACAATCGCTACCAATTATTTTTAGGGGAGTTATCTTGGGCTTTTTTCCATGCCATAGCTCATAAGGTACTTTGCCTTCCACTCTAGTGGGACCTGTCCTATTGAGTACATAGGTAGCGGTGTTGATTAACTCAGCCCATAGTATTTGCGGCATTTGTTTTCTAGTATACATCATTGATCTCGCAACTTCTACTAGAGTACGATTCTCTCGCTCACTACAGCCGCTTTGCTCCGGTGTGTAAGGCATAGTCAGCCGCTGTTGTACGCCGTATCTCTGTAATATCTTTCGCATATCTTCATTATCAAATTCTCCGCCATTGTCACTTAGTAAAGTCTTAATAGTATGCCCAGCATTTCTACTTTCTTCAAGCATTTGCAAAAGCTTTCCTTTACTTCTGACTTCTCTTTGATAAAATATACAAAACGATATCTTGAATAATCATCTTTAAATAATACAATGTACTTATATTTTGAGATACTTTCGGTTGTAAATGGACCGCAAATGTCAGTGTGTATAAGTTCACCAACTGTTGTTGCTCTTTCCCTTGTTCCAAACTGTTTCCGATGTGACTTCCCATAAATGCATCCTTCACACTTAACTTTATCCGGACTCAAGTGTATGCCTAACTCATGCTTTAATACGCGCATGACATGTCTCTTATCCTGGTGAGCAAAGCGTTCATGGTACAATTGTAGCATATTGGAGTCAGTTACAGCATTTATCTCTATTGTCGAATTATACTTTGTCGGCATGATGGTCTTCATGTCCAACTTGTATAAACCGCCATATGGAACTCTACGTCCTACAACTCTAGTTATGCCTTCAATATCTAAGTTGCATTCCTTAGTTGTTGACGTGAATGTACTATTCTGCATCCAATCTTGTGCTGCTACAGTTGAAAATAAATTCTTTGTCAGTGATGGTACTAACCACACATCATTCAGAGTTATTTGCCGTATTGTTCCGTTAACATTTGACTCTACCTCAACAGTACCCATTCCCAATGCAGGTATGGTAGTGTCATCTGCCGTTGATATTGTGTGGTCTGAATCAAAGTTTTGAAAACTAGTGTAAATATCTTTCTTCACTGCAATGTGTTGTAGAAATATGTAATAAAACTATTAATGACTGAAAAATTTATTTTAATGTTATGGTAGATAGAGAAGGTGACAATATAATTTTGTTTGTATATTTTTGATTATAGTATAGACAAAACCTTTAAATATATTAATATCAAAAGAGTTTTCTCAACATATCCTCCCGTAATCAAAACATATATAACAAAACAAAACGTAACAAAAACAACAGTATCAAAAATACAACGTAGTAAAATATATACACGGTTCCTTTTCAACCTCCGTGTACTCCACTCCAACGGCTAGACCTTTTCTGAGTAAGTCCATACCTAATCGACAATATTTCTTCAGCCATTCACCATGTGAAGTCATATATACTGATGTTCCATAAATAGATTATCCATTTGTCACAATTTCTGGTTTCCAAACTAGATACAACTACAGGACTAAGGTAATCCGTTGTATCTTTAATATCCTGTTCTATTTTGGATACATTTCCCTTCTTGTCCCTTTTATGTGGACAATCAGGACTATGTTCATACATTTAAAACATATAGGCCTCTACTTTTTCTCTTTTAATTGCGAAGTATGAAATTCAGCACCGTCGTTCTGAGCAACTTTTGACATTTTACTCAACAACTTGCTTTTCACCATTTCCAAAGTCACTTGAACTAGAGTTTTCTAAAGCCATTACTAATAGTACAAAACGTGATGTCAAACCTCCCAACAGTATCGCAGCTAGAGAACTGTTATCGACTTATCGCATGTCAAGACTGCATTAAAGTACGACTCGACATGAGAAAAATCAGATAAAGTGTACCCCTGTACAGCCGTCTCTCCATTACCAATTTTCGACCTAGACTCAGATCTTCATATGCCTTATTCAAAGGCATACCAGGCCTCTTTTGCTGACGTTGCTGTCCTCACATGCGTCATTGCGGCACCGTCCACACAAAGACAAACTTTTGATAATGCCTTCTTACGTTTCCGCACATGCATAGGTGTATCATCACTGGATTCATAACCATCTACTACATTTCACAGCTCTTCATGTTCCAACAGCATCTTCATTTTGAACTTCTATGCCGTATATTCTTCACGACTCATCAATATCTTAATTCCATTAAAATTATTTCCAGCCATTATAAATGAGCTAAATCGTCTTCTAAATTGATTTATTCTTCGTGCTGATAACGAATGTTGTATAAATATGTAATAAAACTATTTATGACTGAAAAATGTAGTTTAATGTTAAGATGGTAGATAGTGAAGTGACATGATATAATTTTGTTATATATATGTTTTGATTATAGAATAATAAAAAAGAAAAACCTTTAAATATATTAATATCAAAAGAGTTTTCTAAACACAATGTGTGTTGTAGCTCCACTGTCAATATACCAGCCATTTCGGTCTTGAAACTGACTTTTTGAGCAGGCATCTACCATTAGCGAAATATGTTGTACTTGCTTAGACTTGGAACCAGATGCTGACGCGCTTGAAGTTGGTTTTGGTGGCCTTCCATCCTTAATCCACTTCTTACACTTGCGCACTCTATGTCCTTTCCCAGAACAATAGTTGCAGATCAGCTGTTCGTCTGTCTTTTGTTTAAATTTTCGCTCAACAGGCGTAGTCACTAGTGCCTCTTGACGTGAGCTGTCTTGACTGCGTAAATCTGTTTCAAAGGAGCAGAGATTACTCTTTCTATTGTCTTTGCAGACTGTTTCAGTATTAGCCAACTTGACTTAAAGTTAAAATACCGTTCATCGAGCGTATTTAAAACTTTAAAAATCAAGAACAATTCAGGGAGTTTGGCAGTTGCGTCAATTTTTGAAATTTCGACTTTTAAGTCATTCCATATGTTTTTTAATTTTGCAATTAGAGTAGGTATATCATCCTCCTTACTGCGACTAAATCCAAAAAACTTGAGACACAAATTGTATGCCCTGTCCTCAGTTTGTCCATCAAAGCGTCTATGTAGCTCTTGCCAAACTTCGTGTACAGTTCTATAACGCATAATCTTTTTTAATGTACCTTCGTTCATGTTTGTAGTGAGCATTAGCAGAGCGCCGCTCTGAGTCCTCCTATACAAAGCCATAGCATCATTATAGGCGCTCGTTGTAGCATCACCTGCTTCTGCAGCTAGAACTGGTTTTTGGAGTTTTCCTTCTACTGCATCTAAGGCACCTACCGTACCTTCTAGCATAATAGAAATTTGATATTTCCATGTAGACCAGTTTTCCTTACCCACAAGTTTCGCGATATCTATTTTTGTAGAGATTCCATGGTATAAACCTTTCTTTTCTTCCAGTGGGGCCCATAATCTAATATAACTAGAGTGGCTTACCAAATATCCAAATATCGTAAGCGGTGGAGACGGAAGCAGATACGGGTATTACACACTGGAAGGGATCAGGCGAGTAGGTACACAACACGACACGAACACTTTAGACACTATTATTTACAATTTATGGAATACGTATATGACGTACACTTTTTCAGTTTTTTTTAGAGTGACCATAAACAAGGAGGGTACCCCTAGTAACCACTCTAGTTATAGACTTTACACTAGCGCTATTCAACCTTAACACATATAATACGCAGTAGGTGTCGCGTCCAGAAACTTTGAAACACCTACTAATAACGATGTAATGTTGATAAAGCGCATTTTTCGTTATTTAAAAGGTACACAAGAAAAAGAACTCAGATTTGAGTCACTATCGTCACCTAAACGTTTAATCTGTTACAGTGATGCAGATCATGCAGGAGATCAGACTACTGGTAGAATGACATCTGGAATGGTTTGCTTACTTTCTAGAATTGTTATTAGTTGGAGAAGCCAAAAACAACCAACGGTATCTATTTCCTCATCTGAAGTGGGGATTATAGCAGCAAGTGAATCAACACAAGAGATTTTATGGTTAAAGAGTCTGCTCAATAGTCTGTAGGTCTACCACGAAAGTTACTGCCGATTATCGCGTAACGAAACGAAAGACGACCGAAATACTAGTTTAAAGGAACCATGAAGTTTCTTCGGAATAAGATATTTCGGACGGGTACCATAGACTATGATCGTGAACGAATGAAAGATGAGAAGTCTTTTATTATACACTCTTAAATTAGGAAAAAAATAAAGTGGTATACTCCGGATAAAATAAGATGTACAGTCGTTGAAATTATAAACTTCTAAAATTAGTAGTATTTTATGTCAAAAGGAAACGTCAAACCTCTATTTATATTTGAAAATAACGTTACTGCGTATTACAAATATTTTTGTTTTTATTTTTTTATATATAAACTTAAGAATTATCATCACAAGTGTTTTTAAATAATTTTTTATTGCTAAATTTGTTCGTTAAACATCAATGAAAATGAACATGTAATAACTTTGATTTTATTTATTAGTTTCTATTTATGACAAGCGCTAACAAATGTATTTATGCATTTAGATGAGTAATCCCACTGTGGAACAAGTGCATACACTCCTAACATTCCTAGCAGAGCACCAGGAGTTAGCTCGTGGCCACTGTAGAAATGCAGAAGGGCGAACAAGATCCACCCAATTATGGGTTCGTCTCACAGACGAACTCAATGCATTGGGTGGATGCACTAAAACTGTAAAGCAGTGGCAGAAGGTAAGCACTTTTCTTGATATTTTAGTACGTGATATGCATTTAAAATGTTAAATAATTTTGTTATTAAATAAAATTTTCCAATACTGATACTTTATAAATTTTATAAATTTTAGGTATGGGCTGACAAAAAATATCTAACTAAAAAAGCTGCTACTGCTGCTCGAAGGTCTGCCACAGCCACTGGGGTAGGGCAATCATCTGCTGTTCCTTTAAACCCAATACAGTGCAGAATATTGGGTATTATGGGAGAGGGCTTTGGAGAACCTCAGTCGGATGCACATGTTCCTGCATTTCCAGAGGTATGTTGTAAAACCATTACTAAAATAGTGCTAACTGTTATCTCTAGACATATATAACATAATGGATGTCATCAAAATACATGGTGACTTCCATAGTATTCCTCATGCATTACCATTCCTTTTATTTCTGTATATAAGGTACCTAAATAGCCTTTTCCCACCTTTCAAACTGAAATACAGCTATGCAAGAACAGCTGCTTCATAGCAGAAATATGAGTTGAGACAGAGTTGGTACCTTTTTATATATACACAGTTTTTCAATGTTAACTAAGAAGTAAAGATAAGACAGTACTAATAAATAACACCTACTTATACCTTATTATTGATTAAAAAATTTATATCATAATAAATTATTGTTATATGAAAATATTTCTTTAAATATTAAGATTATTAGTAATGGGGGCTTATAGTCCTAATCACTAGTATATTCCTAGACATCAAGTCTGGTATTAGTACCAATCATGCATACCGAAAACAATAATGATAATAATTATTTAAAAAAAAACTTTTTCAGAACTTCAACGGCTACTACACGTCGTCAGAGCGACGACGCCGTCGAGCCGCCATTGGACCTCGCAGTATACGCAGGCGTTTGTTCGAAATGGAGGAGCGGCGAATCGCAGCGGAGGATCGACGGGTGGTAGAGTCAGGGTTGATTCGCCAATCACTCCAGGAATTAAATGTATTAATAAGGGATCGATTGGATGGTCTACAAATAGAATTAAGACGACTGAATAGCTGAAATTTTGTTTTTTTTTTAAATTTGACATGATTAATGTAGATTTGTGTTAGTTTGTTGATTTGTTAAATAATGAGTATAAAAAAAGTTACTTAGCTTTAGATATATCATTGTTGATTTGTTGAATTACGTTAGTTTGTTGATTTGTTAAATAATGAGTATAAAAAAGTTAGTTAGCTTTAGATATATCATTGTTGATTTGTTGAATTCTGTTAGTTTGTTGATTTGTTAAATAATGAGTATAAAAAAGTTACTTAGCTTTATATATATCATTGTTGATTTGTTGAATTATGTTAGTTTGTTGATTTGTTAAATAATGAGTATAAAAATGTTACTTAGCTTTATATAAGTATTAACAAAGACACAAAGTACTAAACTACAGTTTTTTACTGGTCATTAATTTAATGCGCCTTGAACTACACTACTTAGTTTGCATATACTTATACAACATTTTTCTGAATGAATGTTTAATCATTTATAATTAGTGTTATTTTAAAAAATGTTTAATATACAATTTTGATTTTACTTTTATCTATATATAAATAGCTACATATATGTGATTATAAAATAAAAATATTTTATTGTAAAAAGTTTTTAATTTTGTAAATAAGTAATGCCTTAACTTCTAATAGAATAGAATAGAAAATCATTTATTCAAATAAACTTATTATATTGCTGTCATCTATGAATTCATCTATCCTATAATAGGCTTTTTTACATAACATTTGTTTAATATCAATTTTAACAGCATTTAGGTAAAATTAGTATATTTTTATTGCATAAGTTTCTACTTGTACAGTCTTTAAGTTTCTTGAAACTATCTAAGTTTTTCCTTGTATACATAATATTTCATAAATGTACTGTGAGGCAACGGTGAGGATATTTGATTCTTTAAAGCCTTGATATAATGACTATCTCGAACCCATACCATAAATAGAACGTATGGCTCTCTTCTAATCTTTATATACCTGAAAGAAAAGAAAACATACTTAACTGTGAGACTTGGAATTTGATAAATGCACTTGATAGCTTATAGACTATTCAATATAATATCAGCTAATAATATTTAACATAAAAAATACTGAAATACAATCTATAATCATCTTTTATGACATCCTAATAATGAAAAGGAATGACAAAACATTGTATTCTTGTTTGTTCACCAATTTTATATGTAGTACAACTACAAAGTTAACAATTACGATTTATTTACCCAGCAAATAAGTTGTTTCTCCTTGAAGACTCTCCAAATGATCTTTGATCTCGTTATGCTCCCAAATGAATGCATCATGAGTGGCACCACCATAAGAGGCGTCAATATTCATAATTTTTAAATTACTGTCAGCAATCTAAAAAATAGGACAAACATTATAAAGATATTTGCAGATAGTGACAAATAAGAATAACTTGAGAATTATTTATACACTATGCAAATTTTACATAAAATACTGTACTTACAACTTGAACATTTAAAGAGTGGTAATGTTTTCTATTGAAAAATCTCTCTTCATTGACTGTTGGCCGAATTATAGCTACATGGGTGCTGTCGATACATCCTATAACACCAGGGATACCATACTGTGTAGCAAAACTGAAAAAGAAATATAAACTACTGATTATTTAAACATCAATTAACTTATGCTGATTCCTGAAATTAACAACAATATCATTTATAAATTTACAGCTACAAATAGTTGACTGAACTAAATTAATAGTATATGTATTATAAATCGACAAAGAGCATAAAATTCTATAAAGTTAAATCTTAATCATATTTAATATACATAAACTTACTTTCTCTTCAATATGTTCCTGTCTTCCCTGGACTGAGGAAATCTTATACATTTCCTTAGTATATAGGGTGTATTTAGGGCATCTGTTACATCCCTGATGCAGTTTGAGACAGACTGCTGAGCCATAGTGGTGTCTAAATTTTGTCCGACTGCACCCTGGTAGCTACCACTGGCATAAAAATTTAATGCAGTGAGAATCTGAAAAAAAAATAGATATGGGAATACTAAATAATAGGTAAATACTAAATTTTTTCATCTACAAAATGTACATAAGATCTTACTTTGGTTATTGGATCGATTGCTCAACTATTTTTAGGCAGGGGTAATAATCGTACCACATACTGACAAAGATTCTCGAAGACTTCCCGACTGAGTCTGTATTTAGATACAAACTCGAAGTCGGGAATGGATCTTTGGAGGTACCTAGTACGCATTTTTCTTTTAAACCTGCGTCTTTCAATTTCTTCTTCATTGAGGGCTTCTAAAATTCCAGCCAATCTTGGCATAATGAAACTAAATCAAAATAAAGTAATGCTAAGTTGTAGGTTACATTGAACACAATAATATTTAAAAACACTAATTAGTTTAACTTTTATCACATTATTCACTGTAACACATTAACTGAATTATTAATTAATCACTTTTTTATATATTACAGCACTTATATACGTAAAATCCATACTTACGAAAGTAAAAAGTTAACTAGGGTACTGGCACCAGTAGTCAGCCTTTTAGTGGTAAGTCTGGGTTCAAACTTATATAAGAAAATATTAGAAAGAGTAAATTGAAAGTCTTTTGTATAATTTAACTTACTCATTTTTTAAACTTTATTACAAAATTAATAAAAATTACAAATTTATCCTTTAATAAAGTGAAAAATACTTTTTAACAAAATAAGGCACTTTTCACCAGTGCTCAGCCGCCAAAAACTAGTACTCAGCCATATTGCCACCAGTGGTCAGCCTCTCTTAAGATCAATAGTTTCAAGCTTAAAGATTAAGAACATTAATAAACAATTAGTCCGGTCATAGAACCTAAAAGGACTTAACTGTGCCCTAACAATCAAATACCTATCTAACTTATATTTAAATCAGTTAGAAACTTCTTTAGTAACATCAGTATTTAAAAAGATTTCAAGTTCTTCTTCTTCTTTCTAAAAGTCGCCGATTAACAATTTTTTTAGGAGCTTACCTTCCTTACAGGTTTCTGTGTCAGGAGTTTCAGGATATAGAAGTATATTACTGAGAATTTTAATTTTATTTTGTTTTGATTTCCACTAAATCACAGCCTGTCTTTGTGCATTTTACGCTCAATTCCTTATTATAATCATAATTTTTCTTCTTTGTAGTCTCCTTCACTTTACTTTTGGTAGAATCTAGAGCTGCTTTTTTTCTTTTTTTGTATAAAAAACTATATAAAAAACAATTTAAATATGGACGGTTGAACACTGGGTCTACTGTCACCAGTACTCAGCCATGTAACAAACTCTAACTATTTAAGTGGCCGACTATTAGGTTTTTGACAAACAGCGTTAAAACCAGTAGTCAGCCAGGGGTGGTTGAGTACTAGATAATGTATATAAAAACGGGACCCTGTAGTCGGCCACTTCATTATTTAATAATTCTTAAGAAAAACATGATACTTTTCATTGATTACAATGCCAAAAGTCTTAATTAATGTAAATTTTAATACGAAGTGGCCTAAAATTAACAAAATAATCAAATAAATTACCATTTCTGTGAACGCTTCTCACTAATAAAAAAAATGGCGCCCACGCCGCATGTCGCATCGTCAGCCGATGACGTCGAAATAGATTCATATTTAATGTACTTCGCAGCCACGTAGCTATTATGTTTGGATTTAATTCTAGCAATGAGAAGTCATAGAAGCTATTTAAAATAATTTGATTAGGTATTTTCTGTTATAGCGCTATTCCTAGTGGTTTTAAACCGAAAAAGGCTGAGTACTGGTGCGGGGCCGACTACTAGTGCCAGTACCCTATTTAGGTTTCGTCTACTTCGCACTTTAAATCACGATAAACGTGCTGTCAAAACGTCATAATCACGTACGAACGGATACTTCATGGTACGATTTGGGACGATCGAAACGATATTCTCCGTTTTCGGGCACGATTTCGGAATGAACGTTTTTCATGGTACGAATCACACGAAATATCGATCCGAAATTTCGGAATTGCACTTCGTGGTAGACCTACTGATTACAACTGAAAAAACTTTGTTGTATCTAAATAATGAATCAGCTGTGAAACTTGCACAGCACCCAAAAGACGAATATCACAAGCACGCTAATCACATTAAGCTAAAACATTTCTTTGTAAGAGAATGTGTTAGCAATGGAGATTTCGATGTGAAGCAAGTTTCATCAGAAGAACAGCTAGCCGATATGTTAACGAAACCCTTGTTCGGTCCCAGGCTAGAAAATCTAAGTTACAAAATAGGATTAAAGCATTTAACTTTAAATACTTAAAACTTCCGAGGATGTGAAGAAGTATACATACTTCTTAGCGAGCTGTTACTTAGCAACAAACATTATAAATACTATCATTATTCTATGTATAAAAATTATCTCAATAAAAAATAGTGTCTTTTAAGCTTTTTAATGTATTTTTTATAAATAACAAAACATTCCACTGCGCTCAATCCTGATTTACTTAATAGAAATCATAGAAGATTGTCTAGCCACAGAAGTGTTTTACGAGGAAAATTGGAATAAAAGAATTTTAATTCTTTACAGAACAACTATTATATTTAGACAGCTTTTGTGACATCCTTTTAAAAAACAAAAAACAAATTAATTTCTTCTTTTTTAGACTCTCTTCTAATTTTCACACGCGTGAGAATTATTTCTATAACTACAGTACATGATAAAATTAATAATATACGAAACTAACTTAACAAGTACTTCGCCTCAACAGAGAGAATTTATGTTTATCAAACTTTATTTTATTTAAGGCTTTTGTAAATATATCTATGCTATTTGTAGTTCTGTTGGACAATAATCAATGATAAATTCATTATTTATATACAATTCATGGATATAGTGGTAACGAACATCTATGTGCTTAGACCTTTTTATTAAATACGCCCGTCTTAATCAAAGCAATAGCACTTTGGTTATCTATTTTAAATAACACGTCTTCTGGTTTAGCGTTTAGTTCGCCTAAAAGCGTCTTGATATACATAGTATGTTTGCAGCACTCTGCTGCCGCAATGAACTCCGCTTCTGTAGAAGACAATGCTACTATAGGTTGCCTTCTTGAGCACCAGGCAATTGGTCCATCACCAAGTTTAATAACATATCCTATAGTACTTTTCCGAGTTTCTAAGTCACCCGCATAGTCAGAGTCACAAAATGATGTTAACTTAAGATTGGAATCGAACCTGTAACACAAACCATCCTCTATGGTACCGGAAAGGTATCTAAAGATTCTTTTAACTGCTACTATGTCCCTTTTCTGAGGATTCTCCATATTTCTACTAGCTTTAATGACAGCAAACGCTATATCCGGTCTAGTTCTTGTTGACAAATATAGGAGACTGTCTACAGCTTCACTATAAGGGTACATCAACTTTTCCTCTTTGTCACACTCTACTTCTCCCTCTCCTGCGGGTGTCTGGGCATGTTTGCACTTATCCATATTAAACTTCTTTAAAAGTGATTTGGTGTATTCAGTTTGTGTTAGATGCCATCCTACATTCTGTTCCTACAAAATCACCTACATATTGTGATACCATAGTCGCATCTTTTTTAGCTATACCAACATCAATAGATTTGGATTTAATATTTGAGAGTAAAGTTTTATCGTTGACCATATGTACGGTACAACCAGAATCAAGAACAAAATTTGTTCTCTCACTTATAACATTGTTACTTGCGGCTAAGAGCGCAACTTTATTTTCGTTTTTATTTTTCCGAAAAAAACAATCTTTTTCTTTATGATTTGATTTCTTACAAATTTTACAAAATAAAAAATTCCTGCAAAATTTTGCTATATGACCAGTCTTATTACATTTAAAACACACATTAGTAGAATACGAGCTAGATGCCTGACCGTTACCTGTATTTTTACGCATTCTACCTTTATTTTCAGCAGCTAGGACCACTGATTGTATATTCTCATTTTTTCTTTCTTCTTCTTTTACCAGTCTTATTCTTAAGTTCTTTAGCGTTCTTTCTTCTTTAGGAGTACTTTCCCAAGCTGTTTGTTGGTACGAAAGATTGGGAGTTATCTATATTTGAAAGAATGTTTAGTATTTTAGATTCTATCATTGCATCATCAAATGGCATTTTTAATTGTGTCAGTCTATGTATTAAATTTTCAAGCTTTATAAAATTTTCATCCATGGATATGTCATTTTCAAATTTATAGTTGTAAAAATCTTGAAGCAAATTCAAATTTTTTCGTTCCTCTGTGCCTTCAAAAACATCACATAGTACCGTAAACATTTCGTATGCAGTTGTGCATTGGAACAATTGAGTTTTATGCTTTTTTGATACACTTTGCAGAATAATATGTTTTGTCATAGCGTCTTTACCTGTTTGTATTTTTTTTCTCAGTATTGTCTGCATTATCTATTAGTTTATACCATCTAGAATAGATACGTGAAGTTATGGTACCTTACTGGCCATTTAAATTTGTTAATATAAAAAAGGAATGTACCTATGATTTTTAATGTCACTCAATAATAAAATACGATTATATCTGTTTGCATATTTAAATGATCTTTCCTAAACTCTTTATTTACGGACTATATTTATCTTAAAATTTATTAATATCGTATCTTAATTAGTATCGTGTATAATTGCAAAATCGCACGTAACGGTCGATTGCAATTTTTTTTTTAAGAGTTATTAACACCAAATTATTTTCGTATACGTGGATAAAAGATTAAACTATAGTTATGACCATGGAAGGAAATACAAAGTTTCAAGTCTTGCCACTAAACGAACACAACTGGGTTACATGGAAATTTCAAATAAGACTAGCTCTAAAAGGTCATGGCCTCCTACACGTTGTTGAGAAAGACTTCGTAGAAAAGGATAGAGCTACGACTGCTGAACTTAAAAAATATGCCAAAGAAGATAGTACAGCATTTCTTATTATAACGACTAATTTGACACAAGAGAATATCATGAAGGTAATGCGTTTTGAAACAGCAAGAGAGGCTTGGCTAGAGTTGCACCGCATTTACGAAGGAGATATAGAAGATCGAGCATTTGATTTAATTATGACATTCTTTAAATTTGTAAAGGAACTTGCTGATAATATTGGCACGTATTTATCCAAACTAAGGAATGTATGGCGAGATCTCTCCTTGAAATGGAGAAAGAAGGAGTCAAAGAACTACCAGAAATCTTTCTTATGGGTAAAGCTTTAGAAAGCTGTCCGGATGAATATTTCCAGTTTATCTCAAGTTGGAAGCTGTTAGCAAAAAAGGATCGTAGTATAGAGAAATTAACTGTTGATCTATGTTCTTACGAACGAGCATTACAATCTCAAGGGTCCCGAGCTGAAATGGAAGAAGCACTCGCGCTTACCGGAGGTAAAAGCAAGTCTAAATTTCATAAAAAGGTAACTGTCAAAGACAAGTCAAAGAAATGTAGTTATTGTGGTCTGAACAATCATTTTGTTAAAGATTGTCGGAAATGGATTGCTGATGGATGTCCATTAACATTAGAAAAACCATCAACGTCAAAACAAGGTAATACTTCCTACAATAATAAATGCAAAGCTAACATGATGCTAATGAGTGTTGAAGTAAACTACACGGGAAACATTGATAAACATCAATGGTATGTCGACAATGGTGCAACTAGCCATGTCACAAACAGGTCAGATGTATTTGAAAATTTTGAACGATTTCAAAACAAGTCACATATAGTAACAACTGCCAATGGACATGCTATTGCTGCTACTGGTAAAGGATCCATAATAGTGGAAGCAGATATTTATGGTAGAAAGCAACTGATAACTTTAAATGATGTTTGGCTTGTTCCAGAAATTTCAAAAAATCTTTTTTCTGTCTTAGCTGCTCAAGATTGGTTGAACGATAGCACATTCATATCAAAAACAAACAACTGCCAATTGATTTTAGATGGAGAACCTGTCCTACTCGGTGAAAGAGAAAAATATGGAGGTCTCTATAAACTAAGATTGCGAAACAAACCATTGAATCCAATTGAAGTAAATATTAATGCAGTTGATACAACAGATATGCTATAGCTCTACCATGAAAGGTTTGTACATCAGAGCAAAGATCATGCAAGAAAAATTGTTGAACGAGAACTGGGCATAAAAATTGTACGTCCTACTCACAGAACCCTATGTGAAGGATGCATCTATGGAAAAGCTCATCGTTTGAAATTTGGAACGCGAGAAGGAGCATCAAAGCCAGGCGAACGCATTTATGGTGATGTCTGTGGACCATTTATACTCTCCTATGCCAAATATCGTTACTTCCTATTACTAAAGGATGACTTCTCAAAATATCGCTATCTATTTTTAATTAGAAAGAAAAGTGAAGTGTGAGTACAACAAACAACAAGAAAAGTGAAGTCCAAGAGAAGCTGATACAATTTATAGCTCAAGTAAAAACTACAGGGCACATTATTAAAGAATTCTTCACTGACAATGGAGGTGAATTCGTAAATGATGATGTGAAACGGATTCTACAAAAGGAAGGCATTACGCATAGATGTACTATGCCTCACACACCACAACAGAATGCAACTGAATGTGATAATAGAACAGTTGTTGAGGCTGTCAGAGCTATAATGCATACTCCTACAAGGGAACTACATGAAAACTTATGGGCTGAAATAACAAGTACTGTTGTTTATGTACTTAACCGTACTGGTCCTACTCATTTGGAGAAAACTCCTTACGAGTTATGGCATGGGAAAAAGCCAAGGATTAAACATTTACGAATTATTGGAAGTCATTGTTATGCACATGTACCAAAGGCATCACGCAAAAAGCTGGACAAAAAAGCGAAAAAAGGTATTCTTATAGGTTACAATGAGGAGGAAGGGTATCGCATTTGGATAGAAAACACTCTGACAGTAATGAACTCCAGAGATGTAATCTTTGAAGAAAAGACATTAAATCCTATAGATGAAAATATAATCCCTACCGAAAGTAATCATGAAGAGAAGACTGCTAAATCAGTGATCATTCCACTTCAAGTCTGTAATGATCCAACTGACTTAAGTCAAGAGCATGACGAGTCGAATGTATCGATTGATTTAACTAACGACTATACACATTCAGATACTACCGAATGCGAACATGATATTGTATTCAATGCAAACATTTTGCCACACATTGATACGAATGAACAATATACATACGAAGATGATTTATTAAGAGAAGATACCTTATCTCAGGAAGAAATTCGTAATGAAAATCCTCGAGAGGAAAAGAGAATAATTTTAAGAGATCGATTTAAAATGAAAGCTCCTGCGAGATTTGACGAATTTGTTTTACATTGTGTAGAAAGAGTCTATAATCATGAAGAAGAACCAAAGACATTTAAAGATGCGATGAAATCTGCTGACAAAGACAAATGGCGAAAGGCTATGGATGATGAAATTAAATCCCTGAAAGAGAATCAAACATGGGACTTAGTGCCATTACCAAATGGACGTAAAGCTATATCCAGTAAATGGGTTTATAAAATCAAGCGAAACTCTGATGGGTCAACTGACAAATATAAAGCTAGACTTGTTGCTGTTGGGTACTCTCAAAAGAAAGGGGTCGATTATGAAAAAACATTTAGTCCCGTCGCAAAAATGAGCACTATCAGAACACTATTAAGCATTGCTGCTCGTGATAATATGATACTCACCCAATTTGACGTCTCTACAGCATTTCTTTATGGAAGCCTAAAAGAAGAAATTTATGTCAAGCAACCTGAAGGGTATGATAATGGAACTAATAACGTATGCAAATTGAAACGTAGCCTATACGGACTGAAACAAGCTCCATTGTGCTGGAACAACTGTATTAAAGACTTCCTTATAGAACAAGGGTATGTACCTGGAGAAGATCCTTGTTTCTTCTCTATGAAGAGGGGAGAAGGTAGGCTACTATTAGCCCTTTATGTTGACGATGGCTTGATAGCTAGTACATCACAAGAGCTGACTAATGAGTTCCTTGAGGTGATAAAGAAACGGTTTAAGATAAAAATCCAAACTAACAAAAATTCTTATTATTTTCTAGGGCTTGAAATAGAAAAGGAGTTTAACTGTATTAAAGTACATCAAGGTGCATATACCAAGAAGGTATTAGAAAGATTTGGTATGTAGAACAGTAAAACTGTTGCTACACCAATAGTGAAAGAGTCTGAATTAAGAGAAGAAGATGGGGATAACACATTTCCTTACAGAGAAGCCCTTGCATATCTTATGGTAGGAACAAGACTTGACATTTCTTATGCGATAGGTGTTGTATCCAGACACTTAGAAGCTCCTACAAAAGCAGACATTACAAGACTGAAATATTTCGTTATTTAAATGGTACAAGGGATTACTATATCACATACAGCCAAGATACGCAGAAAGAATTAATCTGCTATAGCGATGCTGATCATGGTGGAGATCCTAATTCTGGAAGATCGACTTCAGGCCTGGTATGTATTTACGGAGGTCCAATATCATGGAGAAGTCAACTACAGTCGTCGGTGTCAATCTCTAGCACTGAAGCTGAAATAATAGCCGCAAGTGAAGCTGCAAGAGAAATAATATGGCTTAAACGATTTATTGAAAATATAGAGCAATCATCAAAGATTCCTGTTCTATACTTAGACAATGAATCAGCCATAAAACTTGCATTAAATCCACCCTATGAGTTCCATAACAGAACCAAGCATATTAAGCTAAGACATTTCTTCATACGAGAAGCCATAACTGAAGGAGTTATGAAAATTGCTAAAGTTGGTACTGAATTCCAAATTGCAGATATGTTCACCAAGGCTTTATACAAACCAAGATTGGCAATGCTATGCCGGCTGATTGGTGTACATGCATAGATTCAAGATTTCTCTTCACAGGAAAGGAACCATCACTTCAAGAGAAGATATTAGTTTATACCATCTAGAATAGATACGTGAAGTTATGGTACCTTACTGGCCATTTAAATTTGTTAATATAAAAAAGGAATGTACCTATGATTTTTAATGTCACTCAATAATAAAATACGATTATATCTGTTTGCATATTTAAATGATCTTTCCTAAACTCTTTATTTACGGACTATATTTATCTTAAAATTATCAATATATTGTAATAGACCTTTTGCTTCGAGATGAATTTTTATTTCAAATTTCCATAGCTGAAAGGAAGTGACATCGTCCAAAAGACAAATTCGGTGAACTTCTTCAGCCGTTGCGACTGCCATTTTAATATTTTTACTGTTGTTCTACACTATTTTTATTTCTATATTATTTATTTTTACGTATTATTTGCTCTGATAGGCTGAAGGGTTTTACGAGGAAAATTGGAATAAAAGAATTTTACGTCTTTACAGAACAACTATTATATTTAGACAGCTTTTGTGACATCCTTTTAAAAAACAAAAAAACAAATTAATTTCTTCTTTTTTACAGCCACAAACTAAGTAGATTTTAGAAGGAAGCGGAATATTTTTACTTATCTACTAATAACACAGATAAGATAATATTACAAACTAATAATAAATTACTGTATTGCTAAAGTGCTTGACTGTTAGACCTCCACGTGGTCTCCCCTGGAAACCTTCATAATTATAATCGTTATTATACTTTGTGCTCGTGGTCTAAAAAACAATTACTAAAAGTGGCTAGTAAAATATAAAAACATAGTACAAGAGAACAGTAATGAAGTAGAAATGAATGACACTTGTTATACATATTTATTGATTGAGGGATAATTCTCAAATTTAAGGGCCAAAAGTTGGAGGAAAGCTAGATGGTCTGACAACACTTAGAAATGAAATTGTATCTGAATTTAGCTTGAAAATCAGCGAAAATAATTCATATAGATTGGCAACACTGAAATATTAAAAAATAAAAATGTCATGTTCCAATTTTTAATTATTATTTACGAATACTTTAGATTTTAAATAGTATTTTACCACTCTTTAGGGCATAATGTTATTATGTTGTTTTACTAAATAATAAACATTTGTACTTCTACGATTAAAACTGGAATTTTATGTTAATAATGACAGTATTAACGATGGGAAGGTATTTTAAACTTTATGAATTATTTTGTTTTCATAATTGACAAAGGCGGGTTATAGCGAATTTATTGTTTCCCAAAATATCCTTTTTTCTATTCTACACTATGTTATAAAGTAGTAAACAAAACAAAAACAGTAAATGTTATAAAGCAATTTTTTAGTTTTAGCGAGACTAACAAATAGCAATTTATTTTTACAAAGATTGTTTAATGTTTTGATGTTTATAAGAACACCAATCGGAAAATGTAATAATAATAATAATATTTATTTCCAGACACAAAGAATGGAGAAAAATTGTGAAAAGGGAGAGAAGACGGAAACTCCGAATTTATAATGCCAAACAAAGAGACTGTATGAATTTACTATTTTCCTCTTTTTTTGATAAAAAATAAAACATCCTACACACTGTTAACATGTGTTATCAAATAGCGGATCTAGATCAAAAGCAAAGGATAGATTAAAATTTAAAACATATTCACATTAATTTAACATTTCTGTTACAAATATGTATGTTAATCTTTACTTAAATATTGTATGATTATCAGAAATTTAGACACTAAATAATAAATAAATAATATTAATTAACACTATGGCTATAGCTGTTTATATTTTTTGTTACTGAGGTGAATTTGTCTTCATATGTGTTTTTGCATTACTTATTTATATTTTATCAAGTTTATATATCTTTTCTTGACCTTTGTATTTATGTACTTGCATAATTACATATATAATAATTGATGTGAAAATTATCCATATAGATATAGAAAAACAATCTTCTAATGAATATATTAACTGGCTAAAAGAACAAGAAGCAATGGATCTATTTGAATATGAACAAATTGAAAAGAGAAATGCTGAAGAGAATCAAAAGTGGATAGAAGCAGAGAAAAAAGGTCTAGAAAAGTGGAAACAATTGCAAGAAAAAAAAGAAATTATGCTGCAAAAACAATTAGAAGTTGAAATGAAACTAAAATTGGTGAGGTTCTTGCGAAAATGATTATAAAACTCATTCTCTTGTACACTCAGCATTACATAACTATATATCTGCTATTATTTTTTTTTCACTTATATTAATTCTATTCTGGAAATTCTGTAGTAGGGACATTCTAATCTACTTCATTATCATGCATTAGTATTTTTTTATTTAACTAATTTATTTTTAGGAAATGCAATTAGAACAAGAAAAAAAGAAACAGGAGATGGAGCAATTAAGACAGTTAGAAGAGGCAAACAAAAGGAAACAAGAGATTTTCATGAATCACCTTCAAGAGTTTTTGTCTGGCCATGCCAATGAACCTCCAACAGAGTTATTAGTATCACATGAATCTAGACCAAATACTGAGTTTTGTCCCTTCTTCACTAAAACAGCTTCTTGTCGTTTTGGGGATCAGTGCTCTAGAAATCATTGTTATCCTGGTATTAGTAAGGTAAACCATAATAATCTCCATCATAACCCCTGGACAATTTACACTGTGCCATCTAGCCCCAAGCTAGCAAGTTCTGAAAAGTGTTTGTCTGTAAAAATAATTTTATATTTTCTAAACTTAATTATATAACTACTTGATTTTATTGTTTATATGTAATTATAATTATTATTTTAGGTGCTCCTGGCGCCCAACTTTTATGTTCACTTTGGGTTAAACAATGCCAATTACAATGAGTATGATACAGATGTAATGCTAGAATATGAAGATAATGACACATACAAAGAATTCAAAGACTTTTTTCTGGATGTGTTACCAGAATTTGAAAAATTTGGTAGAGTTGTACAGTTCAAGGTAAATAATAAAGAAATTGTAAACAACAGGTATCCTTTAAAATGAACAAGATTGATCATTTATATTAAATATAGAGTAAATGAAATGGAACATTTCAACCTTAGACTCCTCAAATGTAGATTACCTACAATGGCGCGAAAGTAATTGATAACTATGAATATAAATGCGGTGACTACAAAATAAAGTTGTTTTACCTATAGTTAGGTTAAAACAATGCGGGAGTATTACAACAAATCGTAAATACCTACTATTACTTAGGATGCTAAATTGAGTTGACACTGAATTTGATATGAATCTATCAGGTAGTTGTACCTACATGTACCTACGAGATTCTAGAAATATCGATATAACGAAATAAAGAAAATGAGGTAGTAAAATACTAATTAATTGTATGCGTTTGTACAAAATATACCTAGAAATAAAATATCTAGTCCGGTTTAACCAAATAATTACAATATTCGGCTCGAAATGGACCACAAAATATTTTATTTCTAGGTATATTTTGAACAAACTATTACTAATAATAATTATATAATAATAAACAAAAATGTAATGTTCTATGGCGCAACCAATATCATTCAGCATGTGATATTTATAAGGTAATATTTTTGTTCATAACTTTGCCATTTTATTTACTATATCAAAATAATTTGTCTACTTGTGAAAACTATTGGGAAATAAAATAATACTATAAGTAGATGTACATATTATGTACATAAGTTACACTAAAATGTTTGAAGTTCTCTTACATATACTCCATATATATAAAAAATATACAGAAAAGTATAACTCCTTATAATAGCAGTATGATTATAATTTTATTAAGCACCAAGGATGAGGCTATTGCTTTTTTATTTTGAATTTAAAGTTATATGACTACAATCTAGCAAACAGCATAAACTTATAACAATTTTAGAGATTACACACATACAAAGACTACACAATTTTCTACAAGGAGCAATGTGTAAAATAAAATATTCAAAATATTCATCGAACATTTCCTGTATATTACATTGAAAATACAAAATCTATTTTCAATATTCCATTTCACTTGAATATGTGAAGGTGTTTCAGTTTCATGAATATCCCTGGCGTTCATTAGACCTTTACAACTAACCCTGTATTATAGATTATATATTTACAGTAGTTTCATCTAATTAAGAAAATAATTATACTTATAAATATAAATCAGAAATAATGTTAAAAGGATATTCACAATCTGAGTCTGTCATAAAGCAAAAGGTTTGTATTAATCATTGACTTCATTAAATAGTTACATTAAAAGTTTTACCAATAATTTTCATAATGATTATCTATTTGGGGAGAAGTTCTACATTTCATGACGCCACATTTCAAAATCTAATGGTACATTAGCATTCATTCATAATTTAAAAGCTATGTTTTTGCCACTTTCCACTATCTTCTATCATGCTCTTTGAATGTCAACATCAACATGTTGATACCACACTCGACTCCCATTTTGTCTTTAATTTGCTTGATGTAGCTGTGCCTTGGGCTTGGTCATTAGTAAAAGTGTTTTAATTTAATAATTCATAGGTGTAAAAGTTGTAAAGTCAGACTAGAGTGATGACAAGGCTCGCAAATGTGACCTGTTGCAAAGACAGGAGAGGGTTTAAAAATTTACAAAATTTGTACTTTTCTTTTATTATTGTCAACTGTAGGCGTCATTGTAAATTTGATTCACCACTGCAGAGAGCTAGTCTACCGCGGTTTTTCTATTACTTTTATTTGTTATCAGTGTTCATGGGTGTCATCAGTTAGAAATAACACACAAAAAATAAAAAGTATTACTAAAGTTTTGACATAATTTTGGGTTATGAGCACAGCGCCTAAAATGTATAATGTCTAGTAACAATATGGGGTTATTATAAGTTTCAACGTCCTTGTAAGTATTTTTATTACAGGTTTGCAACAATTATGAGAAGCATCTTCGTGGGAACACATATATAGAATTTGAAGAACTGCGATGTGCTGTAGCAGCATACCAGTCTTTACACACACGTTGGTATGGCGGCAGACAGCTCTCATTACAGTTTTGCACTATTGACTCATGGAAGAATGCCATATGTGGTAAGGATATGTTATATGTATTTATATAAAGCAATTTCTTGAACTAAGCACTACTTGAGTCATCTATATTAGGATAAAAATTATCCTATGTGTTCATCAAAGATATGACCTGAAGGTAATAGGAATGTTCACTCATATTCATTCAGATGTGTTTTCTTATACACCAAGTAGGTAGCAAACAAGCATACGCCCCATCCGATGGTAAACGGTTACCATTGTGTGTAACTTCTATTTCCAACTTTGTGTAAAAAATAACACAAATACAACATAGATCATTTGTTATTTTAAAATTGCAGGTCTGCAGTCCAAAAGACGTTGTCCTAAAGGGCGTGCTTGCAATTTTTTGCATGTGTTTCGCAATCCAAATAATCTATTTAGCAGTTATAATAATGAATCAAAACATAACAGTCATCGGTATGTATTTCATCATGTTTCTTGATATTGATTAGTTGTACACTGTTATTTTAGTTTATCTCACATTATTACTACTATACATATAGATAACATTTAATATCTTGACGCTGTTCAGAATTACCATAAATAATTTTTCTTAAAGAATATCCCAAGATCCATAAGTTATGATAATAATCACAGGATAATTCACACAGCGCCATCTAGACCCAAGTTAAGCTAGCTAAAGCTTGTGTTGTGGGTAGTAGATAACTGATATAAATACATAGAAAAGAAAAGAAAGGAATCAAAAATAACTAAAATTGGTGTGACGTAATTTCTTAATGGCCACATACATACATTTGTGTTTTATGCATCTATAAATTTAATTCAAAGTTCCACCAAAAGTCAGCAATTTCGTTATGAACATGTTTATAGGCTAAACTCAATCTCTAGCACAAAATTTTTATACATATTACATAGTGAGTGTATTATAATGTATAAATAAAATAATTCAACTTGATCAAAGTGTATTATATCCTTTATAGAATAAAATAACTATTTTATTGGCCACGGAGATTCATGAAGCAAATCATTGAGATCGAGTTTCGTTGGATTGGTTATTTGTTTTCCTAAATTTTCACAGACAAATTAAAAGGGTATCATTTAAGCTATCGCCAATTTATTTAGTTTTATGTTTCTTAAATAATAACGTTTGCCCGCAAAATAGTAAATTTTTCACCAAAATGTAGTCACCAAACTATATAAAATCAATTCCACGATAAATCACCTAAAATCATGGAGATAGAGGGTCTAGTAGCAAATAAATGTCTTTGTATGTATTATAATAGGTTTGTCCTAATACATATTTAAGCAAACTAATTTAAAGAGATCGCCAATAAATCATATGATGTCACTAGAAAATTTCATAAAGTTCCTACTACTACTTAACTAGAGATATGCCTCCCAAGAATCTTCATTTTCACAGGTTGTATAAATATATTTTAATAAAATTTCTAGCATTACTATTCGTAAATAAAACATTTAATTAAAGTAAATAATCAATCTTTATTGTTAAAAATAATAATTACTGAATAATCAGCGCTAGTTTGGATTTTAAAGGGCGCCCCCTTTTTCTTTTCTGGGCGATAAGCACATTTTTGATGCTGGTTAGCCTGGTTGTTTCCATTGTTGAGACCGGATTGGTAAATGTTTAAGAGCGCGCCAATTTGTCTTCGCCTCATTGAATATATTTTCATTAAAATTATAAATTGATGTATTGAATTGGTACCGAATACTATTATTTTAATAACTGAACGAAATAAAATGTAACTACTGTATTGGGACAAAATAACAAATAAAAAGGAGTCACAGTCAGGGATCGATAATCGATGTATTTGGTGACAGAACTACCATTCTGAGCACAAAACTATTATTTAAGTAATAAAACTGTAAGAATTTTATATTCGTTTATATATGTAACGAAGTTGTCTACTGCACTACAATTTTTTTGGTAATCTATCTCTTATTTTACACATATATTAACATTAATTTGATAATTCATATCTGGGAACACTTTTGGTTTGTCTGAGAACGAAAATATTTCGTGGTGATAGATCTATTTATTAGGTGACACCACTTGATGACAAATATAAATTTTGGTGACAAGAAATATAACCCCCAAATTAAAACAACGTAACATCTATGTAAACATAAAAGATCATCGTAACATGTTTACGATTTTCATAATAACCCTAGATAATTCACACAGCGCCATCTAGTCCTAAGCTAAGAACTTGTGTTATGGTTACCAGACAACTGATAGAATATGTTTTTTTGTTTATAATATACATAGAAAACATGTTACTCGATACAAACAAACTCCTACTATGTATATGTTTGCATACTAATATGGTTTTACCGTGCGAGGAATCAAACCCACGATGATCGAAAGAAGGCCGAATATTCGCCTAGTCAATTCCTGATTAGGATTATTATAATCTTACATTTATTAATTACCATAATCACTTTTGTATAAAAATATTTCAGTATACATCGGTCACCACGTCGTTCATGGAGATGGTCTGAATCGCCGGAAGTCGATATATCAAGAAGGGAAATTGATAAAAAGAATAACACAAAAATTACTGAAACAGAAAAACATGGCGATTTCAAATACCACAAAAAAAAATACAGACGGAAAGATAGAGATAGACGTAGTAGGCGACAAAAAGATTAAATGCAACTTTTCGATATTTTCATTACTCAACCTACTATTTCATTTAATTAATTAAATAATTGATAGCTGTATTGTATTGATATACTGATTTTTATTTATTGTTGACGTATCATTATCGATGACCTATTCTACTAATTTTTTTTATTTATAAACGAGCATGCGGCTCACTGATGGTAAGTGATTACCGCCGCCCATGAGCACCCGCAACACCAGGGGAATTGCAAGTACGTTGTCGGCCTTTTAAAAAGGAATAAGCTCTTTTCTTGAAGGTTTCAATATCGTATCGGTTCGGAAATACCATTGCTGGAAGGTGATTAAAATGTGGTTGAGCGAGACAAAAAGTTTTTAGAAAACCGTACTGTGGAAGACCGCCATTCATCCAGATGATCAGGATGGTATTTCAGTTTCTGGCGGGTGGTACGGTGGTGAAACTCAGCAGCTAGTATTAATCCGAACAATTCCTCAGAACACTCCCCGTGATATATGCGGTAGAAAATGTACAGGATGCAATATCTCGCCGCAAAGCCAATGGGTCGAGTCTGTCACATAGACGTTGATTACCAATGATTCTGGCTGCTCGGTTCTGAATGCGGTCAAATGGAAGTAGCTGGTACTATGGTGCTCCCGCCCAAAGATGAAAACAGTATTCCATATGCGGCCGGATCTGCGCCTTGTATAATTGCAAGCGATGGACCGCCGTGAAATACCGTCTCACTCTACTGAGCACACCAAGCTTTTTTGAGGTTATTTTAGCCTTGTCCTCCAAATGACCGCAAAACTGAACGTCACTGGATATATCAACGCCAAGGACCTCGAGATTTGGCTTCACATCAAGGAGAGTGTCTTGAAACTGAGGAGATACGATAAATGGAATCTTTTTAGCGGTAAACGCGCAAACTTCTGCCTTCTTGGGGTTGAATTGAACACAATTTTTCAGACCCCAAACCGAAACTTGATGGAGTGAAGTTTCGATTTCAGAAACAAGTTTGTTCCGGTACTCTATAACTTTTGCCTGCGACATATACTTACTCTCAATAGCCTCTGCCCATCGATGTGTCAAATACGCTAGAAGATCACCAGCCGACCGACCCTGGCGAAAGCCATACTGACGATCAGAAATCAACTGGTTCACTTCTAGGTATCGTAGGAGTTGACGGTTGACAATCGACTCCATGATCTTTGAGAATAAGGAGGTGATTGATGGCTATGGGCCTATAGTTAGCTGGATCTGAGCGTTCTCCCTTCTTAGGGATCGGATGAACCAAAGCCGTCTTCCAAAGTTTCGGGACTACACCTGTAGAGTAGCAGTACCGGAAAAGACGCGTTAGTACCGGAGCCAACTCAGCTGCACACGTCCTGAGCACAATAGCAGGAATACCGTCAGACCCACTCGACTTGTGGATATCTAGGGAGAAAAGAGACTTACGTACCAGCTTTTGGGTAAATTTTACCTCTGGCATAGAAGTCTCACACCGCGAGATGACCGGCGGTGATTGCTCCCTATCGTCCAGTGTCGAGTTGGATGCAAAAAGAGACCCAAGGAGATCGGCCTTCTCTTTAGCATGTTGGGCCAACGAGTTATCCTCTCTGCGCAGTGGTGGAAAAGATGGCTGACAGAAATTTCCCTGAGCAGCTTTGGCAAGAGACCAAAAAGCCCGGGATCCAGATGGAAGACTGTTCAGTCTCTTACCAATTCTGCTGATGTGCTCCGACTTTGCTGTGGCTATAACTCTTTTGAAGGACCTGGAAGCGGAGTTATACTTCCTTTTATGGGCACTGGTATCTGGATCACTCGACTTCACAGCTGCAATCCAGGCACGGAAGCATTCCTGCTTATGGCGCGACGCCGATCTACAGGATCCGCCATACCAGGACTGAGATCTACCACCGACAGGTACCTGGGAATTTGGAATAAACTCCATTCCCTGAAGTACTACATAGGTGACAGATTCAGCTATTACACCAGGATCGTCCAGTGCGAAGCAAACTCGCCCCCATGGGTAAGATGCAAAAAAACTTCGCATCTCATCCCAATCTGCCGACTTAAAATGCCAAACACGACGTCGACCAATAGATCGCGGCAAAGAAGGACGCGTGAGAGGCACTTCGCTCCGTATCAGACAATGATCAGAGGATCCCAGTGGAGCTTCCACAGAGATCTGATATCCGTCCGGATGAGAAGTCAGCAGAAGGTCCAACAGTGAAGGTATATGGTCAACAACATCAGGAATTCGCGTAGGCGAGGATACCAATTGCGTCAAACCATACGCCAAAGCAAAGCCATAAACAGATCTCCCGCATAGTCGGTGGTACGTGAACCGAGCCATTCAAAGCGTGATGGGCGTTGAAGTCACCTAGAATCACGTCCTCATCGGAGGGAATCTGTTGGAGCAAAAAATCTGTAGCCATTTGGACGTGTTCAATGAGTCGGTCAGTTTCGGTGTTACCGCTATGGGACCTGTATAAGCATGCATAGATGCGGGGGTGGTCATCGCAATCTACACGCAACCATAAAATGGACAGGTCAATACCTTCAAGTGTACCAAGACGGCTACAGCAAATATCCTCTCTGACATAAGCGCACACACCGGCCCGTGGAATAAAATGGTGTTCCAATTTATATCCAGGGTAGGTCAGGTACGAAATTTCGTCGGGACAGGATATTTGCGTCTCCGTAAGGAAGAGCAAAGCCGGCCTCGCCGTCTCTAGGTGGTGGTGAACGGCGTTGAGATTGGAATGAATTCCTCTGATGTTGCAAAAACTGACTATGAGCAAGGGAAACGCCAATGGAGATTTGCTCGGTTTCCTTTTGGCCAAATTAAGCGGAGTATTGCCCACCCCAGAATACGCAGGGCAGCCTGAGTGTGATATCTCAGGGGTGGATTCTCCAGTAACATGGTTACTGGTACCAGCCTGGGGTAAAAATCTCTTGTAATCCGCTGCCATAGTATGTAAGAAAGGGGTGGGTAGGGGAAGGAAGTAGGAAAGGGATAGGGGGAGGGGGAGAGGCGTCCAGAACCTACAGCTCACCATGCGAAACGCGATATCGCTTAACGCCGGTTTTCTGCCGAGGTGTGGTATTTCCCGGTTCGAGCGGCCCAATCGAGCTGAACAACCACGTGTGGTCGTACAGCTTGCTCTACCACTTACAAAATGGACCCACGCCCGAAATCTTAGGCACAACTAGTTATATAAAATTATCTAACCATCCTTTACCCATTAATTAACCCTAAAGAATGCTAATGCGCCAGCCCTCGCACTAAACTAGCAAACCGCATTGGAGATCCGCTCTTGCCCTTACAGTACTCTTGTAGAGACACGTACGGAACGAACGCGCTTTTGCGTGGTTGGTAGTCTCGGAGATCTAGTCTGCAGTTCTCACAAAAGAATCGCGTAATCCGGTATTGGATCCCAGAACTGGGAAGAGTTAATCAGGGCAACCGGCGCTGGATTTGCAATAGAATACTCAATATTTTTCATTTTACGATTACCATTTTCCAAATTTAGTATTAAAGGGCTAGAGGCAAATAGCAAGGACAATTGGTAAAAGGCAAGGGCAAAGAACAAATGACAAGGGTCAGGGGTAGGCCCAATGGTAATGAGCAGTGGGTCAAATAGCAGGAAGCAATGGTAAGAGATAAACGGCACACGGCAAACACTAAAATATGAGGGAAGTTTCAAATATTGAACATGCTTCATCTGCCATACCAGCCAGTCTAGACATCGATTGAAAAATTGACAAACTTCGTTCTAACAGAAAATTCTCAAAATAGATTTTAATTTTATATAATAATAATATAATTTAAAATTTATTTAATTGTAAAATAAATCGTCGTCTGATTGTTTGTTAGTGGCATAATGGAACACATTAGCCTCGTGCTAAAAAAGACTGAAGAACTTTTATCCATGGTCATGAATAAAGAATTGTTAAAATAAAAGCTAAAAAGGAGATTTGTTTAATAGTTGCCAGTGCCGTCACGATTGTTTAATAAATTAAAAAGCTTATTTTCAAAACAATCAACAAATATTTTTTGAGTATGTTACTGCTAAATATTCATTGAATATTATTTTCTGTCAGTGCTGTTTTTTTGTTACTAGTTACTACTAAGTATTAAAATTCTAAAATATTTACCATTTACTCCAAAATATTTGGACATGAAAACACTGATGTTATGATTGTCACATTTACAATACAAATCATATGGTTCAAATTCTATGTATTTTTACTCTTTACGTGCTATGATTAATTTAATTGCCATAAAGTAGAATAAATGATTTAAGTCAACTTTAGTAATAAATAGTAAAATTATTATAAAATCTTTAATTATGGTTAAAGTTTAATAGGGAAGTTATAGCGGATAAATTATGATATATAGACATTTAATAATGAATGTTATCAAGAGTTTTACACCAAACAGTATATTAATAAGTAAAAAAACACTTTTAATACCTGTACCATGTTTTTGTAATATTAACATATTGTACTCTAGTTCTAAAATACGAGTATCACAAAAAAGAAAAGAATCTATTAGAAATGGTGATAATGGTAAGTATAATAAAATATTCACATAAAAATATGATGAATAATAATATCATAATCAATATTATAACATATTTTTCAGGTCTACACATAAAAAAAGAGAAAATAATTTCACTATTGAACTTTCAAACAAAAGATGATGCCTCACCTTTTTATAAACTGCCAATAAAGACTTTACTCCATGTATACAAAACTACTAAAATAGATGACGCAAATTTATATTGTAAAAATAGATTGTATTATATTTCTTCTCAACTGAATGTAAGTATTATTATTTTATTTATATCAGTAGTGTCTGAGTTTAGGTTTTATAGCCAATAAAAATTTTCAAATTCACTTTGCACATAGGAGCTTCTCAAATCAAGACATCTTCAATTTTTTTAATTTCTATATATATTTATATAAATTTAGTATATCACATATATCAATATTAGTATATTTAAAAGCCCTTATTACAGGTTACTCAAATAAATACTCTAATAGACTGATGTTATTAAATAAAAGAAATATATATAAATATACATATATATGTATCATAACTAGTACCCTCCTTGGACACTGCAGATTGAATAACCACATGACAAATTTAGGCATGTGCTTAACAAAATTTTCCAAATTTTGTCATAATGAATTTACACATCTTAGGTGGTTGTAGTCCTCTCACACATGAATAAAATATCATTGGGAAAATACACACTCTGACCTGAAGAGATAAAAACCATTTCTCCTAAGAATATACTTTAATTCATATACCTACATGTTTAGGTAGCAAACTGGGAAACAGTAATAAAAGTGCCTCAATATCAATCTGCATCATGAGATGGCCACCCTTATCACTTATTAAGAAAATAAATTACATAATTTTCCCAGGCCTGCACAAAAATATTTATAAGAATCAGTCTAGTCATTAGGAGTTATGTTACAATCACACAGTACATACAGTATTATACATATAATAACTGTACACATTACATGACAATTATTTGAAGATATTTAAAATTTTTTCTCTATTTTCAGTACCCATCATCACTTCTAAGTACACAACTTGCTCGTCGAACATTTATTTATAGTTTGTCCTTTAGCTGGCTCAAAAATTCATTAGAGGTATTACTAGGTAAGATATATATGTATAATTAAAAATATACCACCCTGACTTAACCCATGTGTAGTTATTACTACTAATGGGGTAAGTCAGGATGATATATGGGACTACCTATTGGTAGTCAGAGCCATTGTTAATTGTTGCATTGTGGCAAGGTGATCTCTCTCTAGGAACTGTCTCTCTATTTAATTTTTGTTTGACTTACTGTCTTGTGATGAAAACTTCGATAACAGAAGTTTTCTTCACATGTCAGTAATATAAATTGAAATAGGTATATGTCTCAGTTTTTGTATACCATCAGTGTACATTTATTTACCTACTTATGTTTACAGACATGGGAGTAGAAACAGATCGCATTGTGAGAGATCTATGGGTACTCAAATATCATAGTGAAACAATACGGGAACGGTTACAAAATGTTAAAGACAGGGGTATTGACGTTCTTTATCCATGGATGGTTAGGTGTTCTGAGGACATTTTAAACAGGTTGGTAGGTACTTCAATGTTATTGATTTATTTACTGATGTAACTTTATAAAAACTTGGGTAACTAAGTGCAGGACAATAAGCATGTCATCTTAGTTATCTGGAGTGGCAAAGCATGAGCGGTATCCTTATTTATAATGTGATATTGTATAATATATATAGAAATGACAAGAGATGGAAGCGCCACCTAGGCAGCTCAGTACAGACTACTGCCAATAGTTTCCCTTGTCGGGCCTGTGGTAGGCTATGCCATTCTCGTATCGGTTGTTAAAAAAGCTGTTCATGGACCATTATGCCATAAATCGTCTATAATAGACGCATAGGCCATTATATATATATTATTATATAGAAATAGATAAATAGGATAAGAATGAAGTCAAGTCAGCCTTTTATGGTGATTTCACCATAAATTAACTACAGTGGTTTCAAAAGAAAGGTATACAGATGACATTTTCGGATAGTTATTTTCAATGAGGGATTTTATATGAATTTTAAGTATTCTAGTGCTTCATCCACCTGTCGGACTAGTGTCATATATCATCACAATATTATCAGTATCGTCACATATATTTTTTTTCAGATATGTGCATATGTCGCTGGAAACAAAGAACATACTGGGAGAAACTAAAACTACTCAGATATATTTAGCGAATCGACTAAATATATCATCAAGGGATGTTGACACAATGTGTAGGACAATACCAGCCCTAAAGACTATACGAGTAACCAAGGTTTTTTACATTTCATGTTAATATATAAGGAGCCAGTATAATTCATATATCTATTACAATTACGTAAATTAATATAATTTTTAGATAAGAATTACTATCGGATTGAGTTCATTTCAAAATTGATTTAAACAACAATATAGTTTTCCACTTAAGAAAAAAGTAAATGATAGGCCTTTATTATTAACTCTCAAAAATTTTAAATAAACACAAGCATGTGTGAATATTAAAAGAAAAAATTGAGCTTAATATCTAGTTTTATACTCCACACACATAGGTGGTCCAATTATTTCGACATTAAACAAATACATAATAATAACAATGGTCTGTACCTTGATGATCACTTTCGGTTTTATTCTATAACCTATTGATGTCAGTAATATATGTGCACTATGAGACATTAGCTTTTACTAGATTTAATCTGCTTTTTTTAAAATAATAGAGCGTAATTTCGTCCTCGTAATACAGTCTATCTTCATGTTATCAAAATTATTTTCGTCGCTTTGACATGAAAAAATAACAAACAGACACTCTTTGAAATTTATAATATTAGTATTGATTAGTCATCATGATGAATGTTTCATCTTGTAGAACCGTGAGGGTGTTTCCGTAAGCTCAGTTTATGAAAGAATTCCTTTTTTTAAAATATTTGCATTTGCATTGCATTGCTTTCAAGACTAATCGTTTTCTCCCCATTTGTTTTAGGTTAAATATTTTCTGGATTTTCTGGAAGAAGAAGGCTTTCAATTGGAAGATATTGCATCAAAACCTAGAATATTGTCTGCTTCTCCAAAAACAGTAAAAAAGCGATTACTACAACTACGTAATTTAGGAATTAGACAAATTAACTTAAATATATTATGTAGAAGCAAAAAAAATTACAAAAAGTATTATGAGTCCATAGCTTCAATTACCAAAAAGAATGAGCAAGAGTAATTAGTCAAGTAACACCATCACTGTTTCTGAGATGTGATTTTTGTAAAGTTTGTTAATTAAATTTTGAACCATATATTTTGCATTTCATTTCGATTTTAACACTTCTTGTCTGGCAGAATACTGTTTGAAATTAAATATAAATTGATTATCAGATGGCATTAATAATAATAACAAAGTCCTACAATATTTATTTAATTGGGGTTGCATTGTAAGTGACAATAATGATTCAGTGTACAATTTGTTAGATGTATGTATCTCTATTTAAACTAAAATCAATGTCGCAATTACCTGTTTATTTATCAGAACATAATACACATATAATTTAATTCATATACATTATACACCTTTGAGACACAAATTACCAAAACCCATGTTTACAACCCTAATACATATAATTGCATATTTTATGACAGTTTTTACAGATGAGAATGTTACTGATATGAAATAAAACAAAATTACATTAAAATCAAGTGATTATTGCCTCTGCCATACAAAATGTCATTGGAATGAATAGCATGATGTAAAAAAACACTACTATTTTAAACAAATATTAAAGATAAATGTCTACACTTGATTGTCTTGTGGCCTTTGATCACAAATTACATTGCAATTGGGGGTCACAATTTTTTTTCATATTTGTAGGCAGTTGTTAAATAACAACAGCTTGTAAAATATGTAAGGTGTAGTAGGTAATAATATTATTTATATTAAACTACCTATATAAAATTATATAGTGTGAGGTTTGAGTAGGAATCCATAGAGGATGTAAATTGAACTACTGATGAGCACACTGTACATTAGGGCCAGCATGCATATGCTCATCATCGTCACTGGCATAAGCTTCCTCACGGCCTCTGCCTCGCTCACTGGCTGTGTAATCCATCAAATTGACTTCCTCAACATCATCACCAGTAGGCATAACAAAGGCTGGACGTGGTGGCAAAATACATTCAATTTTTTTCAACTTATCTTCAGAGGCAAAATTATTTTCTGGGAAAACAACATCAAATTTTATGTACAAATTGCCCTTCTCGAATGGGTTCTTATACTGAGGCATACCTTCACCTTGTATCCCTTTTAAATCTCCAGGTTTTATGACTTCACCGGCTGTATGTTTAATTAGCAAGTCCCGACCATCTAAGTGTTTGACAACAAACTGAAAACCACACAATGCTTCTGTCAATGTAATTTCATGTTTCATGACCAGGTCATCACCAGTCCTTTGGAACACATCGTGAGGTTTCTGTTGAAGCACAATAATGACATCTCCAGGTTGAGTATCAGGTTGCTGATCACCTTCCCCTCTGAAGTAAATCTTCTGATTTTCCCGCATGCCCTTGTCAACATGTACCTCCAATATTTTAGTCTCATTCAAAACTTTTTTACCTTTGCATTTTGGGCACTTGTCCTTGTCATTGATTGTTTCACCTTGTCCATGGCATGTTGGACAGCGTGTTTGGAATTGGCGAGTCATATGGGCGGCGATCTGTTGATAAGACACTTTTATACCCTGTCCATGACAATCCTTACAAGATACAACTGCTCCTGGTTTTCCGCCAATACCCTTACAAGGACCGCAAATTACGTTTTTACTTAATTGCAACTTTGCAGTTTTTCCGACATACATATCCTCTAAAGTTACTTTGAGAGGGTGGATTGTATCTTCTCCACGAGCAGGACCCCTGTCTCTACTGCCACCCATTCCAAATATGTCACCAAAGAAGTGACCAAGAAACTCCTCAGGTGGGAAACCTCCATGGCCACCACCCTCCTGTAATCCCTTCAATCCATATTTATCATAGGTTTGTCGTTTTTTAGGATCCGACAAAACTTCATAAGCGTAACTAATTTCTTTAAACTTATCACCTGCAGCGGGGTTTTTATCTGGATGAAATTCCTTGGCCAATTTATGATAGTTCTGTAAAAAAATTCGATAAAAATCATTAATCGATTGAGACAATGGAATTTATAGTAGCATGCATCAAAGTCGAAATGACATGTGTTTTTTTTCTAGCAACGTTTAAATAAACTGTATCCATCTAAACTATTACTCTTACTTACCCTTTTTATTTCGGAATCACTTGCATTTCTAGAAACTCCTAAGATTTCATATAATTTATTATCAGCCATTTTTCCACAAGGTATAAAATGGAAAGAAAGATTATGGAAGTAAACAATGTTACCAGATTTAAATTTATATTACTACTATATGTTGTAAATACTCTGATAAAAAATTGCTAAATGTTGTTAATATTCCTGATAAAATACTAAATTTATTTTTACCTACGAAATTAAGTTCTATTTTTTATAGAAATGATAAACATTATCTAGTACTAGTTAGATGTCGTAACTGATACTGAATATGCAATATCCATCTTATTACTTAGTAGGAAAAAAATGAGATATTTTTTATTTTACCTTACTTGAATCATTAAATATATTATTAGTAAATATTTATTAATAGTATTTCCATTTCTACTACGTTAACTGGTCTAGAGAGTAGATTCTAATTAGTAGTATTTATTCTATGTTGTTGTTTGTGTCAATTATATAATTTCGTTGCTAGGGACGTACAAATGGATATGAAATTTAAAAATAGCTTGCCAATGATCGTATTACAACTACACTTATTAAATTAAGACGTACTCTGATTATTTATACACAATAACAACAATTTATTAAAAAAAAATCAATTTGTGGTGATAATGTGATCGAACTGTACTGCAAACTAAATGGGCAACCCAACCGACGAAAAGGCGGGAAACGTTAAACTTGGCGGGCGCGTTTTTTCTTTTGATTTAAATTGTACACTTATTTTTCATTATTTAGTGATTGTGATACTGTATTTAGTTCTTTAATATCTATTATTTAGTTTGTATATATAGTTAGCTGTTTTATTGGTAAGTTTTTCGTTTTTTCATTTCTATGGACGATTCCCCCGACCCGGGGGGATTCGTCCCTCCGGCTTCTAACTATGTTACAATTTCATGCGAATCGAGTATGGAAACCGATACGTCTTGTTCAAACTGATCAATAAAACAGTCGGTTACAAAGATTTTATAAAAGTTGTAATAAACGGAGAAGAAAAAATTCTTCAAATAAAATTACAGATTGCCACTGTACAGATGACATAAATAATGGTATTGAAATACAAAAACCTCTCACGGAAGTGATTACCACTCCACAATCTGTAAATTTAGATCCCCCTCATCCATCCACATCTAAAGAAACAAATGAAATTAATAATATTTCTGAACCAGTAGGAAGGAAAATGTATGAACCCACAGACCATCCTCCATACTTAGTTCATGTAGTAAGATAAGAAAAGTCTCCAAATGACGGTACTACACTTCACCCTGTGACATTTGGTAAATTCCTCAAAAAACAGTATTTTAAAAACATTATTAATGGAAGTGTAAAACGCATTGGACAAAATAAAATGGCGTTGTCTTTCTCAGTTTACCATGATGCTAATACATTCATTAATCATAACAGTTTAAATGATTACAAATTACAGGCTTTTATACCAACATTTAATATAACACGTATGGGTCTGGTACGAGGTGTTCCGAGTATTTCTGTTTCTATCGGTTGTGGCAATATACTTAAAGTATGACGGCTAAATTACAAAGTTGTAGTTGATGGCTCTCCCACCTGGAAACCTTCTCAGACAGTAGTAGTCACATTTGATGGTCAGGTACTACCAAAAAGAATATTCGTTACCAGTGGAATTATACACTTATCCAACTATACAATGTTTTAATTGCTGTCGTTATGGTCACACTAAAATTCAATGCAAAAAAAAAGGTAAAAGCCACGTTGTTTTAAAAGTGGTCAAAATCATACAGGAAAAACATGTGATGTTGAAGATGCTTTTTGCTGTTTATGTTCAGGAAATCATTTTTCTACTAGCAAATCTTGTCCAGAATTCAATAGACAAAAACAAATAAAGTTATATATGGCTGAAAATTGTATCTCATATGCTGAGGCCTCAAAATTGCACCCTGCTATTACAAAGCGTTTTGCTGAAGTCCTTTCCACGCCATCAGCACATGGAACATCATTTAGTACTTTAAAAAATATATCTGAATCAAAAACTTATAATGATACTGCTTTTAAGCAGTCTTATAAAAAAACCGTATTCCTAAAACCTAAATCTCCTCGTCCATCCTATGTTGGGTATGATAAAGTTGCCCATGAGAATATTATAAAAGATTTTAATATACCCTCCCCTTCTAATTATCAGAATACTCTTGTATTCGAGATGATAGGCCAGATGGGTATGGTGGGGCTCACTCATCAATAAAGCTACTCATTTTTCTTCTATTTCTTTACCTCTTTTTGACAAAAACAATATTTCTATGGTTGCTGCTGTTGTCAGCGACATTTGTTTAGTCTCCCGTTATATACCTCGTCCTTCCTCTTCAATTATTGCATATTTAAATGAGTTATTTTCAATTCTTCCTAAACCTTTTTAATTATGGGTGATTTCAATTGCCATCATCAAGCTTGGGGCAGCTCCTATTCTAATTACCATGGTGAGCAATTGTTAGGCCTTCTTGATTCCCATAATCTGTGTGTTTTAAATGACCCAGTACCTACTCGTATTACTGCTCCCACTGAAAGAAATAGTGCTGTAGATCTCTCTATTTGTTCTTCCAATTTATCTTCCTCTCTATCATGGTCTATCCTTTCATCTGGATATAGGAGTGACCATTTTCCTATTATCATTTCATTACCAATTCATAAAAAACATCCTCGAAAAAGAAATTCCTTTTACAAACATAAGTTAAATAATAACAATAAATGGGATAAATTCCAAATTGGTGTACAAAATAAATTATCATCCCTCCCTCCTATTACTTCTGGTAATGAATCGGACTGTTCTGAAGCCCTCAGAAAAATTTTGATTCAAGTCGCTGATGAAGTTTTTCCTGTAAACAAACATAATAATAGTAAAATTCCTTCTCCACTTTGGTGGGACCATGAATGTACTGTACTACAGCTATTAAATCCAGGAAACAGGCAGAAAGATTATATTGTAATGATATGACTTCAGAAAACCAATCTATCTGCCCTACTCCCACCTCCAGCCTCCACCCGGAAACTTTTAAAGAAAAAGAAGTCAGAAGGATGGAAACGTTTCTGTTCTTCTATTTCGCCTCATACTCATCCTTCCCTTGTATGGCGTAATATAAAAAGATAGTAGGTCTACCACGAAGTGCAATTCCGAAATTTCGGATCGATATTTCGTGTGATTCGTACCATGAAAAACGTTCATTCCGAAATCGTGCCCGAAAACGGAGAATATCGTTTCGATCGTCCCAAATCGTACCATGAAGTATCCGTTCGTACGTTATTATGACGTTTTGACAGCACGTTTATCGTGATTTAAAGTGCGAACTAGACGAAACCTAAATAATTAACTTTTTACTTTCGTAAGTATGGATTTTACGTATATAAGTGCTGTAATATATAAAAAAGTGATTAATTAATAATTCAGTTAATGTGTTACAGTGAATAATGTGATAAAAGTTAAACTAATTAGTGTTTTTAAATATTATTGTGTTCAATATAACCTACAACTTAGCATTACTTTATTTTGATTTAGTTTCATTATGCCAAGATTGGCTGGAATTTTAGAAGCCCTCAATGAAGAAGAAATTGAAAGACGCAGGTTTAAAAGAAAAATGCGTACTAGGTACCTCTAAAGATCCATTCCCGACTTCGAGTTTGTATCTAAATACAGACTCAGTCAATCTTCGAGAATCTTTGTCAGTATGTGGTACGATTATTATGCCTAAAAATAGTTGAGCAATCGATCCAATAACCAAAGTAAGATCTTATGTACATTTTGTAGATGAAAAAATTTAGTATTTACCTATTATTTAGTATTCCCATATCTATTTTTTTTTCAGATTCTCACTGCATTAAATTTTTATGCCAGTGGTAGCTACCAGGGTGCAGTCGGACAAAATTTAGACACCACTATGGCTCAGCAGTCTGTCTCAAACTGCATCAGGGATGTAACAGATGCCCTAAATACACCCTATATACTAAGGAAATATATAAGATTTCCTCAGTCCAGGGAAGACAGGAACATATTGAAGAGAAAGTAAGTTTATGTATATTAAATATGATTAAGATTTAACTTTATAGAATTTTATGCTCTTTGTCGATTTATAATACATATACTATTAATTTAGTTCAGTCAACTATTTGTAGCTGTAAATTTATAAATGATATTGTTGTTAATTTCAGGAATCAGCATAAGTTAATTGATGTTTAAATAATCAGTAGTTTATATTTCTTTTTCAGTTTTGCTACACAGTATGGTATCCCTGGTGTTATAGGATGTATCGACAGCACCCATGTAGCTATAATTCGGCCAACAGTCAATGAAGAGAGATTTTTCAATAGAAAACATTACCACTCTTTAAATGTTCAAGTTGTAAGTACAGTATTTTATGTAAAATTTGCATAGTGTATAAATAATTCTCAAGTTATTCATATTTGTCACTATCTGCAAATATCTTTATAATGTTTGTCCTATTTTTTAGATTGCTGACAGTAATTTAAAAATTATGAATATTGACGCCTCTTATGGTGGTGCCACTCATGATGTATTCATTTGGGAGCATAACGAGATCAAAGATCATTTGGAGAGTCTTCAAGGAGAAACAACTTATTTGCTGGGTAAATAAATCGTAATTGTTAACTTTGTAGTTGTACTACATATAAAATTTGAACAAACAAGAATACAATGTTTTGTCATTCCTTTTCATTATTAGGATGTCATAAAAGATGATTATAGATTGTATTTCAGTATTTTTTATGTTAAATATTATTAGCTGATATTATATTGAATAGTCTATAAGCTATCAAGTGCATTTATCAAATTCCAAGTCTCACAGTTAAGTATGTTTTCTTTTCTTTCAGGTATATAAAGATATACATTCTATTTATGGTATGGGTTCGAGATAGTCATTATATCAAGGCTTTAAAGAATCAAATATCCTCACCGTTGCCTCACAGTACATTTATGAAATATTATGTATACAAGGAAAAACTTAGATAGTTTCAAGAAACTTAAAGACTGTACAAGTAGAAACTTATGCAATAAAAATATACTAATTTTACCTAAATGCTGTTAAAATTGATATTAAACAAATGTTATGTAAAAAAG